ACGATCGAGCAATCTTGTGGTGGCGGGGGGGGGCGGAGAATCTGAGACCAGAGCGTGCACCCATAGGGGGAATTTGAGTCCTGGGCATCTGCCCATGACGGGGGATCCAAAATCAGGGCATGTGATCCTGGGGGTGCGGATCTGAGACCTGGGCATGTGCCCATGGGGGTCGGGGATCTGAGACCAGGGTGTAGGATCCAGTTGCTCTGGGATCTGGTCACTAACGAGCCGTCTCCTCTCCAGGCTGCTGGCTGGCCGGGCACAACAGGGTGTGGGGAGGTGAGTATCAGTCTGTGGGGAGGACGGTAACATCAAGGATGGGGGGGGGTTGCATGGGGTGGGGAAAAGAGGAACTGAGCCCTGAACCCCACAAAACTGAGCCCAAACTCCCCCTGTGAGCTCAGACCCAGCCCCGCAACCCCATGCAGTAACTAGGAGCTGAATCTGGCTCCCAGGGTCTGACAAAGCAGATGGGAACCGTCCCCTGGTTCAATGTCCTGCCCCCACCCCCCCACAGGCTGTGAGGATCGGGGGTGGGGAGTTGGGGCAGCCCGTGGATTTATTTCAGCTCATACAAACACTAACAGGATCCGTCTGTGGGCTCTAGATCCCCTCGGGGAACCGAAACATTCACTGTCTGTGCAGCCGTGGGGAGAACCCCCCAGATCTGCCCCTGCCCCCAGATCCACCCCTAACAGCTCCCTCCCCTGCTCTCACAGTCCCCCCCCTGCATCCCAAGGCCTGGGGAAAGGTGGGTCTTGTGTGACTCCCGTAGGGTCACAGACTCTATTTCCAACCCCGGGGTGGGTGGCAGAGCTGCAGGGGGCCCACTGATCAGCAGGGCCGGCTCCAGGGTTTTTGCTGCCCCAAGTGGCACAAAAAAAAAAGAGCCACAATAGTGATCTGCAGCGGCAAATCGGTGGGAGGTCCTTTGCTCCGAGCAGGAGTGAGGGACCGTCTGCCGAATTGCCGCCGAACAGCTGGACGTGCCGCCCCTCTCCGGAGTGGCCGCCCCAAGCACCTGTTTGGCAAGCTGGTGCCTGGAGCCGGCCCTGCTGGTCAGGCTCCCTGGCTGGCCTCAGGCGGGGTGGGGGGGGCAGGTGAGGCCGGGAGGGCTCTGCGCTGCTCCGGTCGGCTATGAGGGAAGGACGAGGACTGCCCTGCCGCGCTTGCTGAAGGGCACTCCCGTCCTCCACGCCACCGCCCCCTACAGGGCGGCCGGAGCAGAACACCACCACCAAAAAAAAAAGCGGCCGTGCCGCCCTAGGATTGGGCGGAATGCCGCCTCGAACAATCTGCCGCCCCAAGCCCCAGCTTGCTCGGCTGGTGCCTGGAGCCGGCCCTGCACCCACCACTGAGGCCGTGTGGTGAGGACGGGCCCCAGGACTGAGTGACGGGGCCTGCGTCTCACGGCCTGTCTGCTTCCCACTGCAGAGCCCAGCTACCCCAAACCCAGCATCTCCCTGAGCCCCAGCGGGGGGGTCTCCCTAGGGGGAGTCGTGACCGTCTGGTGTCGGGGGCAGCTCCGGGGCGTGCGGTTCATGCTGAATAAAGAAGGACGCCATTTCCCACCTGTGGATTCGGCCGGGTTTGAGGTTGTGTTTCCCATCAGCAATGTGAGCCGGGAGCACGGCGGGAACTACAGCTGCTCCTATCACAGCAGATCGGAGCCGTTCACCGTGTCGTACCCCAGCGACCCCGTGGAGCTGGTGCTGAGAGGTGAGGAGCCCGGCTCGGCGTCCCCGTTCCCAGCTCCAGCCCCACCCCCAGCCAGACCCTCACGTGTCAATAGGATGCTCAGATCCTGTCTCTGTCATGACCCAGCAGAGGGGACGCCCGGCTGGGGAGCGGGGACGGAGTCAGTGGGGGGTTCCCCAGCCAGGGGGGAGCAGCTGCCCCTGGAGACTCGGGGCAGGGAGGTGACTTTAACGCTGCCCCTTGTGTGTAGGAACCGTGAGTCTCTATTTAATCCCGTGATCCCATCCCCTCTGTTCGCCAGGCTCTGCCCCAGGCAGTGCTGTGGCCCGGGCTGAATGGGGCAGGGGCTGCAGGAGAAGTGGTGGCTTGGTGGACACGGCGTTAGGCTGGGACCCAGGAGATCTGGCCCAGCTCCTGGTGCGGCCACAGACTCTGTGTGATGGGAGCACATCGCAGTTTTCAAAAGTGTCCTTCCTTGTGGGGGGGGCCTCAGTCTTGGGGCATCTCAAGCCGAGCCCCCACAAACCAAGGCAACCACCATTACTGGAGACCTCTGCAAGCATTGGCCTCAATAGCACTGGGGGAGCATGGGCCTGTCTGTCATGATCAGAGCCCCATTATGCCAGGCGCTGCATAAACACAGAGTGAAGAGACAGTCGCTGCCCCTGGGAGCTCACTAAGGAAAATGAATCTGTCTGTGCTTCAGTTTCCCCTGTGTAGAAGTTGATAAGGACCCCTCCCTATCTCCCCATGGGGGTTGACTCCCTTCCTGTGTGGAGCTTGGGCCCTGTGGTGCTGGGCACCAGAGACCAGCCCGTCAGTCGCTCTGTGCTCGGGGGGCGGACGCAGTGAATGAGGCGGGGGCCACACATGGGCATATGAGGATCCCAAGCACTAGGGAGCTGCGGCTCAGTGTCTGTGGTGCTGGGAGCCCAGCTCGCAGGGCCGGGATTCTGGGTGGGGGGTTTTCTGGGATCTGGGAGGGAATCTCTGCGTGGGGGCCCTGGATCTGCCCATGGCTGGAGCCGGACGGGGAGGCCGGGGCTGGGTGGGTGACCAGGTCTGGCTCTCACAGACTGTCTCCTGTGCGCAGATCCCAGCTTACCCAGACCCTCCATCTCTCTGAGCCCCACTGGGGTCACCGCCCCAGGGGCAGACGTCACCATCCGGTGTCAGGGACAGCGCCGGAACGTGACGTTCTTCCTGCACAAGGCTGGAGACCTGAACCCGCAGCGACATATGGACCCTGCTGGGGATGGGGCTGAGTTCCACATCCCCACCGTGGGCCATCAGCATGGAGGGAGCTACAGCTGCAGCTACCGGCCCCAATCAGAGCCCTTTGTCTCCTCAGAGCCCAGCAACCCCGTGCAGCTGGTGGTAGCAGGTGAGGGGCCCAGCTCGGTGTCTCTGCTCCCAACCCCACCCCCAGCCGGATCCTCGGGTAGGTTCTCCACGGATGCCATGCTCAGAGCCAGGCTCTGCCCTGAGCTCTGGGCCCGGCAGAGGGGACGCCCAGCCAGGGAGTGGGGACAGAGTCACTGGGGAGTTCCCCAGCCAGGGGGAGCAGCAGACACACAAGATTTGGGGCAGAGGGAGGGGGGATCCCGGGAGCTGCAGAGCAGGGAGGGCCTTTTCCAGGCAACACATCAGTTAGGGGGTGATGGGCAGAGCTGAAGGTTTTAAACCTCAGTGTATAGTACAGACTTGCACAGTCCCCTACAAGTAGGGTTACCATTCGTCCGGATTTACCCGGACATGTCATCCTTTTTGTGCTAAAAATAGCGTCCGGGGGGAATTTGTAAATCACTCACAATGTCCGGGATTTCCCCCCTCCCCCGGCAGAGCAGAGCAGAGCAGAGCGAGCGGCTGGGAGGGCTGCAGGAAAGTCCCGGGCTGAACTCCGGAGCAGCTGGAGAGGAGCCGGATCCGCCCTGCATTCTGAGCAAGTGTC